ATTAGTGGGCTCCTCTCTGCTGATGCAAGGTGCTTGTTCACAAGGGTTCCGAGGCCATATTCGCCGCGTGAACTGCTTGGGCACTGACTTGTCTGTAGGAATGCGCTTCATTCACCGTCCGTGAATTCTACATGTGCATGGTTTGTTGAACCCACAGAGCTGGGCGACATGGACGGCAACTATCGCAACTCTGTCACGCAACGACCTTGACAGGGCCGCATGGGTCTTCTTTCCGTCGATTCATGCGGATGCCTCTAACAATACTGGTAGGCTTAGGCAGCGTTCCCCTCCGTAGCGTCGAACCCGCTCCGTCGGAAGCCACCGTTCCCTCGGTAGAAGTCGCACTGACGACGGCTGTGTTCGAAAATCCACTGCAATGACCGTCAACCACAATTCCGGACACTACGAATAATACCGGTCGGTGCTTCGTCGAGTAGTCAACCAGCCGCAAAACCAGCCGTTCACGCCGGCCCGTCGTCGAAGGTGACGGTTTCGACCAATCGATCAGAATACTGGACAACTATGTAGGTTGTTTTCAAACCAGCGGTCGGGGTCGTCAACCGCCTCGGGCCAACTGACAAACTTGTCGAACGTTGTTCGCACATACTTCGAAGTACATACGTAGATTGGGGATTTCCTCGCATTCTTTACCAGGTATACGTGTGGCAGAATTTTTGTCTTGCTCACGAAGTATGTTTTGAGTGCTCCGGTCGTCGTAAGCAACAAGACTACTCATACTCAGGTACTGTAATAGGTTAACCTCTCAGATAACTTCGGTCGTTGCTGAATGTGCTCCCTGGTGTTATCATCTCAATCATCTTTCGCGACCGCTGCACCTTCACCTCTCTCTTTAGACTGCTGCTGCGTCGTCGTGAACTCTAGCCCGCCTGGCCTGAGTACAGCTGTGAGACAGAGCAGAGCCTAACGTAGGACCTTGGACGATAGCCACGCGTGTCGTACAATTAATTGACGGCAGTCGGAACTGGTGCTACAATTGATACACCTCTGATGAGTCGGAATCGTTCAGTTCTTAATTATTCACTCGTTGTTTCTGTTGCGGCTCGACCCCAACCGCGGTGGCACCAGTAGGTAGCCAATATGTACACGATTGATTCCGACCGGCAAGATGTAGGATCGAGTTCACTTCCCTCAAGTCACCTTCATCTGGTTTTGGCCACCGAATCTCTCCATTACATACGGATGGTTCGTCTTTGCACATCCTATCTATCTTTCTGACGGACACTCGCCCTGAGGCGCCATGTCCTTCTAGGCAGTCGCGACCGAAGTCGACACCACTAGCAGTGGCGACCGTAAAGCCGATAAAATCGAGGTCCTTGTCACGGAGGGATGAGTGAGCAAAAGAAGCACCATGCCCAGCACATTTTCGGCTCCGGTGGCCATAAAGCCTTGCTAGAGCGACCTGTTGACGGCGCCTCGTTATTAGACGTCCTTCTTTCCAGGTCTAGAACTGGGTAAAGCTCAGTACAACAGCTAACCTAACCGTTGCTCACTGCGGTATTTATGTCGTCCCTTCCGTGGCGATAATGCATCAGTGTGGGCTATGGAGTGTCAACCCTCGCCGGACACACAAGGAAGGGCATGCGGCCAGTGGTTTCGACCACCTCTGGGAACGAGAGTGTGTGCGAATTGTCGTGCTGACCGATTGCTAGGTAGAATCAATCTACTGCCCCTCGAGGTTACGAGATCATCCTCGAGTGAGTCTGGTGACAAAGGCGCACGCAGGTCCTTTCGACTGAATTTGGGGTGTATCTGGCCTCGCGTCCACGTCCCTGACGCTCATTGTCCTGCCTGAGGTGTTTGCTGCCTACGCCACTTATTTATCGGGTGAGACTGTTTTGGTGATGTATTAACTTCACGAGAGGTCGACGACCGTCCTTCACACGGACGAAAGAGGGAGTGCTCAAAGAGCGGCTCCCATAGCAAGGAGGGGCCCCGTGAATCATTGCGGTGCCCCCTATCAAACGGTTATCCTACAGCCTGCGTGACACAAAATCTGTTGGTATGCCCTTGTTGTGTGACCTCCAGAGTCCAAAGAGTGTTGTTAACGGCATGTATTATCATAGGGGGACGTGAGGGAGAAGGAGGGAGGACGAGTGCCAGGCCCAAAGCCAGTCGAAAAAGGGGGCCCGCAACTCGTATCTCAAGGTCTCTCCTAGCCGCCCCTCAAGGCAATCCCATCTGCGGTACACGAAGCCGCCAGTGATTTGGTACAATCCGACCAATCTACTTCCACGCACGAACACCCTTCCCGGTTCTTTACGCCAGTGAAGAACCACCTCGTGCGTCAAACATTCATCCAGAATGGCACCTAGAACAACGCAAACCAAAAACAAGGGGAAATCCGCCATAGGATCAAAACCCCTCGGATCTCAACGCCCTCACGCCGTTCATATCACGAAAGATTCCAACGGCACGCCGTTCATGTCACGAACGGTTCCAACGGCTGTACTGCACGGTCAAGACAAGACAATATCATACCACCGACCCCAGGCTCGCTCTATGCTCCACGCGCGGCTGACTTGACAAGGTCCGTCCCTCACAGCACAAAACAAATCGACCACGTCCCCACCTCTTCCTGGTGAGGTCGTACAGCAAATAAACCTGGTCAAACCGACCACAAACAAGCACCTGTGTCCACTGCTGTCTGCACTTGGAACAAACGCCGAGTATCCATGCTCTATGCCCTCTCTTGCACAACAACACACAGGACCCGCTTGCCTCCGAACGTAGAATAACGACCAAATTTGCTTCGACAAGAAGAAGAGTCCAACAACACCCACGAGTCCCACGTCATTTCTCTGTACTGAATGCCTCCGGGATATAAGTGACGTGCGAGCTACATCCACATTCCTTATTTCCGCTGTTAAAGCAACAAGCCATGCTAACAACAACAAAACAAGATCTGAATGACCAGGATGCCATCACACAATCCTGCAGCTTTCTCCAGACAACAGTATGAAACAACATCCTGACGTGGTGACGAAATCAGGACTCATACCAAGAACCGCATACCCTCCCCCACTCGAGAGGCTCTGCGGGTTTTTTCCAAGATAGAACACTTGAAATGGCACCCCAACTGTGTGCCCGGCACTCCATCGTGTGCCCGAACAAATAATGTCCGATCTGACGCCTCAAAACCGACGCCCGAACAACTAAATGTCCCAATCTGACGTCCCAAACAGTACGCCCGACATCTCAGACATGACTTGGAACGCCTATACCGTCTGGATCTGCGTCTCTATACCGACGCCCAAAACGCGTTCATGTCCCTTTTCTGTCTACACAAGACATGGAGACGCCTACCTGGCGTTGCCCCGTTTTTGTCTACACAAGACATGGACACGCCTACCTGGCGATGCTTCCTCTGTCTACTCAAGACGTGGAAACGCCTACCCGGCGTTACCGCCACGCAAACGGACGCGTCTGTCCAATCTGCGACAAATGACACGCCTATACCGCATGCCATCTCATCCATCGTCAACGCAAGCAACATCATTTCATCACTCGCGCACGAAACTTGGAACGGCCAACCTGCTGTTCCCCGGAGAAAGATGTCCTGGCGCCCCTCACTGAACTCCTGAGCAGTCACACTCAAACTCCTCCTCCATCTGATTTCGAGATCAGCCAAACTACTTCAAGCCTATCTGATTACAAGCACGGCACTCATCACACGCACACTAACCAGATTGAAGTAGACCCGTTGGCTCTCAAAACGCTTTTGACGCACCAGACCGTGCGTCCGGGGCAAACTGGTTGCCCCCCAGCGGCGCTACCCGAGCTGCTCGACTTAGTCCTGAGTCGGCGTAATAACCAAACTCGGGAGTAGCGGATACCCTCCTCTGCTCCCACAACCCGCACCTACCTGCGGGCGAGCGGCAGCCTCCGTGCTCCCGCTCTGCGGACCCCCCCCCGTGGGACTCCAGATGGACATGCACTACTTCGCATTCCCACCCGCCCACACCCGAAGTCCCTCGGCGTCCCGAACTTCCTCGGTGTAGCGGCGTAGCAGGCAGGCACACGACGGCTTTCTCGTGNCGACGTCCCTCGGCGTCCCGACGTTCCTCGGTGTAGCGGTGTAGCAGACAGGCACACGACGGCTTTCTCGTGTCTTTGAACTCCACCATCCCACAGCTACGTATTTCCGGGCCCCGCCAGCTGATGATGTAGAGTGCACGCGGTACCCCACGCGCCTTGATGTTCGCTGCCCCCTTCCCGCTCTTGGTAGAAGGTAGCCACGGCCGCTGCCGTGCTAATGGTTGTGGCCAAAAACTCCAGCACTCTCACACAACTGCCGTGATACCCCGCCTATCCATCGGAGCCAGGAAACACTTCTCTCCCCGTATTTCCATCGGGGCCAGCAAGGTTTTCTGGTACCCTTCCACACACACACGGCGGGTTGGGTTCGCGTGCCCCCTCCTACACGCTCCTTAATGGGGATGACCACAAGAGAGCACACACTACCCTCAAGTGTACACGAGTGTTCTCCACCCGTGTTCGCGGGCCACATACCTTGCGGGTACAACCCGCGGGCAT